ACATTGTTAAGGTTAGGTTTCACCAATTTACTCTTGTACATACACAATTTCATCTCCTTTCCATCAATTAACTAAAGTCAATCCACAAAATTGCTCTAGCCCTAATCCCTTAGGTGAAAGAGCCTAACTTTTATCTATTAACTATCAATCCCTTGACTAATTAACAAGCAAAACCCGCATTAAGAACTAGGATCTAAGATAACATATGAATCATCTTCCATCCCTAGAATCAATGAACCACAAGGACTCCTGTTTCAGTTCTGGGTTCCATCTTACGTCCCCATAACCCATGAAATCCCAAAATCAAGTCATGAACGTCCCCATTACATGCAAGCTTTAAGATTGGAAACAAGAATACTAGCAATTGATAGAAAAGACATATATATATATATTCAAATCATTCAACAATTACACAAGATTCAAAGGCTACAACTAACCCCAACAAGATGGGTTTGGCTCTCCATTTCCATGGAGAGCCTTTAAGCTTACAAAATGGCCATGGAAGAAGAAGAAGAACCCAAAGAGGAAGAAGGGAGTGTTCCCACAAGCCCTAGCAGCCCTCCAAGCTCTCCTCTGAGTGAAATCGCGCCTCCAAACCACCAAAGACTCAAACCCCTTCGCGTTTTAGGGTTAAATAAGCTCAATCTGCCACATCAGCGAGACTGGCGCCCGGTCCCCTTCTTGGGGGCGCCCGACTCAAGCACATCAGAAATCAGCTTCTGTGCAGGTGGCGCTCAGCTCCCTGGTTCAGGGGGGGCTCGGCCTGCTTTTCCTACGCTGCATATTTTTCTCTTTTTCTACAGATGTGCTTGCTTATTGTGGTTGGTTCAGCTTTATACATTGTTGGAGATTCTTTCAAGCACATTATTAACTACAAAATAAGGATTTTAGATGAAATTACATCAAAGTAGCCTAAAACACAACTATTCATAAAACTAAGATAAATTAGAGGATTAAGCAAGTTACAAGCTAAAAAAGAGTTCATTTTGCTATTAAAATTATGCTTAGATAATGGTAAGAATTAGCATTATCAATGTAGTGGTAAAGTCACCATAAACTTTTTCCTCAAAACAATCTTAGGTTGTAGATAAACTAACTAACTAACTAAAGATAAAAGATAAATATAAAATAAAGATAATATATCTAAACATATTGATAAATTTCTTTTGAAATATATATATAATATGGAAGTATGAAAGAGGTGTGTTGTGGGAGAGATTTCTGATAAATGCAATTTTTGAAAAGCTATTTTTTTCCCATCTATCTTAATTTTGTAAAGTTTGTCTTTATATGAACACTTGATGTATTATATTTCATTAGCGATCCTAATTTGAAGAATTTACAGTAATTATAGGAATGATATTATTATTTAAATTTGGAGAAATTTGGTACAGTGAGATGGTTGAGAAGTAAAAGAAATTTAAATAAGATCACGTGATAATAGAAGAGTAGCAGGTAGTGAAGAAAAAGTTTGAAAAAAAAAATCAAACTCACCCATTTCATGTGAATTCAAAATTTAAATTTAACAAGGATGTTTCAGATAAAACCAATATATGCTGAAGAATTATCTCTGTCAGTATCACACAAAACCCTCTCATTGTGTGCGCCTGCTGTCCGCCTGCAACTGCATCAACTATATTTTAATAACCTACTTCTAGATCTCCTTCCACTCTTAATTTTTAAATAAAGTCATTCAAATTAATAACATTTAATAAATTTAAATCATCTTACAATTTTTTTAATGTAGAAAAATCTGTAGTTGATATTTCTCGAATATTACATAGGACATCTTGTAAGATTGCCTGAAATAAATATTATGTCCAATAAAATAACACTGATCTAATTTATTCTTTTTTTTTAACAATTTCTGGTGGAAAATTAATTTGTTTTATTAAATTTTATTTTGAAACTCAAACAGGGTTTTAAAATCAAAAGTACAACCAGACAATGAATTCAGAAACAGAAACACCAAACTCAAAACAGTTTAATTATTAATCAATAAACAAAAATACTGTTAATATTTCCCGTTGTTAATATTTAATATTCAGCTTTGACAATTGCAACTGCAACTGCAACTGCAATATGCATTAAAACATTAATTAATATGTTAATTTCTTCACGCAAGCCTCTGAGTTAGACGTGTTTAGCTATAATTTATGTTTGATCGGTCGATAGTCTCACTCAAAGTGAAAGAAACTGGGTAATTGAATTTCACTAAAAATAGAAAACGATAAAATGATACATTCTTTTTTACAAATTTAGTCAAAAAAAGGACACTAAAAGAATGTTTACGTGATTATAAATGTCTACTCACATTAACATTGTTTTAGTTGTTGAATTTTAGAAATTTGAACGGTGAACAAAGCGTAAGGAACAAGATCTCTTTTTTATAGGAGAAAAATACAGAATGTGTTTTTAAACTATTACCGTCATTCAAGTGTAGTTGTAGGTGAGTATTTAATTATTCATTTACTTATAACTCTTGGACAGGGACTTCAAAATAAAAAAATCACCTTGGGTGAGTTGTTGTGAGCAAGATTCCATTCCCCCTATAGATTTTTTTTGAAAAGGCAAAGTGCATTTGTTTTTGAACCTTACAAGAATTCATCTTCCAAAGAACCATTACATTCCCTTTTTCCCTGTTCATAAAAGAACTCAAAACACTTCTGAGGTCTGATCTGAAGACAGTATAGATGGGGTCTTGGTGTGGTGAAAATGTAGGTCACCAGCAAGAGGTATCTGCTGATAAGGACCACATTTGGAGGTGTGTTTCTGTTCTCTTTCACTCTTTATCTATCTCACTTACATTGCATTGTGAAATGGGGCACCCAGTGGCAACAAAAGTGGAATGACATTGTTCAATGTGTCAATTCAGCTGCAAGAAAGTGGAAGAGGGGGGTCTGAATCTGAACACTGTGGAGTCCCTGAGAGGGAGATTACTGGCAGAGAGACAGGCTTCAAGGGTGGCCAAGATGGAAGCAGAATCAATGGGGAACAAGGTAACATACCATAACATAACACTACAATGCATCTTTTGTTCTAACAACACCGTCAATCTTGAATAATTGTTTCGTTCACTTTATGTGGCACTGTTTGGATCACCTCTGTAAAGGAAAGAAAATGGCATTGCTGTTCATCTTGTGTGGCTTTTTGTCTGACAAACTTTATCCTGTGTTTCCATTTTTCTCTCCCGAAAATTAATGAAAAATTATTCTGGAGACAGTTAGTTGAGCTGGAAAAACTGCTTAGAGAAGAGACGAAATTAAGAGATAAAGCTGAAAGAAGGCTCAGAATTTTAAAAATCAAGGTTGGATCTTTCAGCATACCCTCCAAGTCAGGGCAATTGGAACATTCTGATTCGTCGGAGAAATGTGAAAATTCTTGTGGGTCATCTTGGATTAGTTCACTTTCCAAACATTCAGAAGAAAACGAAAAAAAGCACGATGCAAAAATTCCAGCTTTGCCAGAAAATGTAGATCACAGTGACAATGTTTCCGAAGCCTCTACTCTTATTCAGAACCACAATGGTCCGTCCAGTACAAGAGACTGTGACTCTCAGAATACTGATAGTTTCGGTAGTAATTCATACACGGGTGATTCTTCCCCACAAATCCTAGGCGAAAATCCGAATCTGAGCTATGGGAATTTGAAGAAGGGTGAAAGCAGGTACTAGATTTGAACGTTTTGATGCTGACATTTAGATCGTTTGCTTCGGGCTTTGGTTCTTTTTCAACGAGGGAATGCACTTTTAAAAAGTAAAATACGTTTATAGCTGTTTATTTCAGTGAAATTTCTCTGTTGTATGGTCTTAATATTAGAGGAGTTGAGTATAATAAAATGAGTTTTACTGTAATGTAAGGTTAATGTAAATGTTCTAAAGATAATTATTACCATAAAAATCATTAAAATTATTATTTACCATGATTTGTGAATAGACTACATATGTAAGAAAATCTTTAAACTATCAGTTGTCTATAAATTAAATCCTCAGGTAACAAATTATGAAGTTGTTGACTGCTATACTTTATGAGTGTATTATCATTTTAGAAGCAAAATACCTATTTGGTGAATAGTTTGTGGTTGAAATAGAATTTGTTTGATTAAGGCACCAAGCTTTAATTTTTGTGCTTTATTTCAGGTTTAGCAGTTTAAGCTCAAGATCATCATCAGTGACAGAGAATGAGAGTAATGATGGATATCTGTGTGATAATTCTCTGGCATTAGTTCCCGTGACTGTGACACCTACATCACAAGGTACCAGTAACCCGAAACCAATTACTGTTAGTGTCCTTGAAGCTTTAGATGCATTGAGGCATGCCAGAGAAAGGCTCCAAAGTTCAATGAGAACAAGGCAAATGATTCATGTTGGCCCAATGTAAGCTCCTACACAACACTGGCATAGTAATAATGCTAAATTATTGCAATATTTATGAATTATAGGTAGTGAGATTGTGATTTAGCATTAGAATAGACGGGAATATCAGAAACCTTGAGTTCCTAAAATTAATAAGATTGGTAGCAGAGGTAAAATTCTTGTGAATTGTGGTTTCACTCTCCACAGAAAGCATGTGACGTAGGGATGTGTTGTCATCTCCTTTGGGGTCCAACTCTTGTGTCCATATTCTTTTATTGTGCTTTTCCTTCACATACTTTTGCTGACTTTAATGTGGTCACCCCTTGATTCCTGTGACTTGCATCAACATTATGGTTCATGAGAAGGACAAGGCTTATCCTCAACCATGACTATGCTGTAACGTAACTAGCAATTTTCTCATCTGTTGCTCCCCTAGTTTTGTTATAATATATTAATATTGTAAAAGTTAAAACCTTAATTTGGTTACGAGATTTTGTTAGTTTTGAGATCTTTTTAATTTTGTAATTTTAAGGATAAGTTTTTAAAGACAAACTACGTGCTTCAGTTGGATAAGTTCTTAAAAACAATTAAACTAAATGTTCAGAAAATACTATTCATCACTTTTTTCTATAACAAATTTCACATATCAAGTAGTGGAACATCATCATTTTACATGTCTAATTTAGTGTCACAAACCACAATCAAAGAATAAATTGATTTGTAACTTATTAATTTTGATTTGATTTGTGTTATTTGTATCAGATTTTGAATGTTACATCGTAAAGGGATTTAGAAAGCATAGAAAATCCCTTTGGTCCCGTGTGTTTCCCTCTTTGATTTCACTGAATGCCCTTGTCATTGTCAAATGTATAAGTAACACTGATTATGTGTTGACGTTGTCACTCTTTGGATGTTGTTTGCTTCTACGAATCTCACCGTCTAAATGTAACGCGTCAGAAAGAGCGTGTTCCATTTGTCGCTAAAAAGTAAAGAGAAATTATAAGGTGGCGCCTCGTCATTCACGGTTTAGAGAAGCAAAGGTTCCTATCAACTCATTTTAATTTTATTCAGAAATAATAATCATTTATCTCTTTCAGAAGATAAAACGCATGTAATTCTTTATTTAAATTAAATAACCATTTAATCCATGATTTTAGTAAACATTACGAAATCCTAAATATGTAATAAAGAAATGTGATATGCTACTGTGGATAGTGCATGTGGGGCATGTAACATTAGTGTTGCGTAAATATTAGGACACCAAAATTTATGTAAGTATTATCATGAAATACATCAAGAAAATGAAAGAAACATGATAACTTTACAGTCATATAGGAAATGACCTGTGAGTTAGGGACGTGTGCTCTAATTATCATTATGGGCGGCATCTCTTATATTGTGACTTCCGTGGGAAGTTGGCCTACCAGAAGTTTTTTTCATCATGAATTAATTCATCATGAATTTTGTTATTTCCAAATATTTTGACGTTGTGGTTGTGCTGTTTCAAATTTGAACCGTGTTTTAACAAGAGTGATATAGCATCCATACATATAAGTTGCTCCGCATATCATACGGTGACAGTTCAATATAACTTGCTTCACAGTAGTTATCTTATATATATATATATATAT